CGTTGGGAAGGAACGTGGAGGTTAGTGAGAGTCCTTAGCAAAAATTTAGACAGAAAGCTGCAAGGTTAAATTGTAACCAATATGAAACTAGCAGGAATAACAACAATGATGCAAGAGGTTTGAATTCTGTCAGGAGAAAAAGCAGGAAGTCATATCCAGAAGTTTCTGGTGTCGATTTCCCAGTGTCATCACTGTACAGCTACCACTCGGGGTGCAATGTGCTTCTGTTGAGGGCTTTCTGCATGGCTCATGTAGGAAAAACTGGAGACTTCCAAACAAAACAGGTTAGGCACTTGATCTTGAGAGAAGAAAGGTGAGAATAACAAAATCGTTTTAGAGTTGAACGCTTTTAATTTTAAGAAGGGAGGAAAAGATGACAGCCTTTGAAATGTTAAGTTTCAAGTTCTCCTCCAGTTGAAGGGTTTCTACAAAGTGCTCTCAGACAAAGACTGTCAACATAAGAATGTCCAAATCCGTGGAGAATTTTTATAGGAGTTTAGTTGCAGTAAACTGACAGCTTGTACATGAGATCTCAAAAATGCTTCCCTGAATGACAGTGGGTAGTTTTTTATACACTTGGACTAGATTTAAACTGAAGGTAAAGAAGATTGCATGAAGGTGGGGAAAAGCAAGGCAGGGAAATCTCTAGAGTTGGAATACAGGATAGTTCACAGGATCATGCGCCCTGCAGGGTGGTTACGCTTCTGAAGGGTCTGAAATAATTTCCCCTTTCCCTTCTGAGTTCTGAGCTGAGACGTCTGTCATAAAACATAGATTAACAGAGAAAAAACAAACAGAAATTTAGTAACATGAATACCTGGGAAATACCCAGATAAGGAGGTGACTTAGAATTCAGGATTAAATACCATCTTAACAGGAAGAGGAGGGGAAGTGTGTTCTACTTAGGGAAGAGTACATTATTTTTATGAAAGATAAGTGGGTTCTTAGAAGAACAGATGGGAGTTGCTATCCTTGTGACAAAGTTTGTCTGGGTGTGGTGTCAACTTCTAGTCTCCTCTCCCATGATAAGAGTTAATTTTCCCTGGTTAATGAAACTCCTGGGAGGAGATTTATGACAATTGAGTTCCTTTTGGAAGATCTAGTTTTTTTTTTTTTTTTTAGGCAGATACGGGGAGTTCAGAGAAAGCCTCTCCCTACATTTGTGGTTTTTCTAGTGCCTGCAGCGCAAAATAATCATCATACTAAAACAGCATATTTGGGGGGTAAAGGGGAGGTTGTTCTGCTACTCATCTCTTTTCCTAGGAGATCTCATATATAATGGCTTTATAAAATCTCTATATGGTGATTGAACTTAATTTTATATCCTGAATCCTGATCTCTTCCTGAATAACTGCTAGAATAGTTTGGCACCACTGCCTTGATTTATGGCTGAGGTTATAATAGTTCTACCCAACCATTGCTTTTAAATTGTTAACACGAATGTCAACAAAGAGGAAAAGGCAAATAACATTCCAGTATTCTTATGAAAATAGTTTGACTTTGCTGACCCCTTAAAATGTCTTGGGAGCCGAAACCAGTTTGGCTCAGTGGATAGAGCGTCAGCCTGCGGACTGAAAGGTCCCAGGTTCGATTCCGGTCAAGGGGCCCATCCTAGTGGGGGGTGTGCAAGAGGCAGCTGATTGATGACTCTTTCTCATCAATGTTTCTGACTCTTTGTCCCTCTCTCTTCCTCTCTGTAAAAAAAAATAAAAAATATATATTTTAAAAAATAAATAAAATAAAATGTCTTGGGAACCCTCACCCAACAAGTCTCATTTCTCTACATGATAATTACCTTGCCACGTTGAAGGTCTTATCTCCTCTCACTCCCTGCCTTGCTCAGTTCCACCCACTTAAGGACATTTTTCTCAGCGGTTCCATCTGCCTTTAACTTCCAGCCACTTGGTGCTTTTACTGTTATTAGATTTCAGCTCAAATGGCACCTCCTAGAGGCATTTCTCAAGATCATCCAGTTTAAAGAACACCTCTTTCCCCCAGTCATTCTCTGTTAAGAGTACCCTGCTTTATTTATTTATTTGTTTATTTATTTATTTACAAAAGTTACCATCATTTGATATTACCTTGTTAATTAATTAATTTGCTTGCCTCATTAGAACTTAAGCTCTATGACATCAAGGAATTGATGTGTCTTACTCATTTCTATATCTCTATCTCCTAGAACATAGTCAAAATTCAATAAACATTTATTGAATGAATGGATTTTTAAGAGGACTATGAGGAATTAAAAGAAAAAAGTGGATGAGTGGCAGTAATTTGAAAAGTACAAAGATTTATAAGGTAGTTTATTATAGTTTTCTGTATTAATCTCCCAATAACCATTAATGTCTCTTGACAATTATTTCTCATTTTTCTCATAATATAACCAAACTTTAATATTCTCTCCACATCACTAGAGAATGTGTACTCTTTTATCTTCCTTTCTTTTTTAAAAACTTTATTTTTATTGGTTTCAGAGAGTAAGGGAGAGGGAGAGAGAGACAGAAACATCAATGATAAGAGAGAATCATTGATCAGCTGCCTCCTGCACGCCCTCTGCTGGGTATTGAGCCCCAAACCAGCGAATGTGCCCTGACTTTGACCAACTGTGATCTCCTGGTTCATAGGTGGATGATCAACCACTGAGCCACGCTGGCCAGGCTTATGTTTCTTATTTTAAAGGCAATTCTTTTAAATATTCCACCATTAAGTATGATATTTACTGTGAGCTTTAGTTATTTTAACCTTATTTTTTAGAATCTTTTATCAAGTCAGTGATATTTTCTTCTATTTTCTTTTAGTTTTCCAAGTTTTAATCATAAAACAACACTTTATTGTACTGTTTTTCTGCATCTACTGAGATGATTAGATGCTTTTCCTACTTTTATGTTTTAATGAGCAAATTATATCAGCATGTGTTATCATGTTGAAAGTTGCATTCCTGAAATAAACCCCATTTGCTCATTTTTTTGTTTTGTTTACATATTGCTAGATTTGATTTGCTATTTCATTTGGTTTTCTCATCCATGTTTTGAGTGATACTGGTTTGTAATTTACCTTTATAATATGAGAAAAGGTTTTGGTGTCAAGGTTATACTAATTTCTAACAAATTGTGAGAATTGTTTTATTTTTCTTCTATTCTTTACTTATTTTACTATTAAGTATAAGATTGAAACCATCTGTTCTTCAATTTTTAAAACAAACACAAAAGTGTAAAAATTACAAGGGAAAGCTAGTTTTTTCCTCCTGCATTAGAATTAAGAAACTGTATTCCTTAGTGTAATAGAGTGAAAATACAGCTAAAAAATCATTGTAATATGTCTAATTGTCAAAGGACTAACATGTGCAGATTACTTTAAAATTTCTACAAATCACTAAGAAACAATCAAGTATAAAAATGATCTACATAATTTCATCCTAATCATTATTCCGCTTATCCTATGTAGATAATAATTTTATTAATTTCATTTTAACCAATCCAGTGTAGTATCTAATCTTGTAGATTTGTTTTTATTGTTTATTCAAACAGTTTCTTATTTTATGAATATGAATTTTTCCTAATTTTTTTTTTTTTTTTTTTTTTTTTGCTATTTAAAATATTGCTTCAGGCGCTCTCCCTCCCAGGAGCACCGCCCCCCCCCCCCTTTCTTGTCCTTTTTCTTCTTCTCCCTCTTTTCCTCCCCCCACCCCCACTCCTCCGCAGGCACTTTACCATTGGTTTCCTCACTCCACAGCTCCAAGGACCCAGAGTCAAGTTCAGATGAACAACTCCATAGGAAGCTTCTCGTCCAGCCAGTTGGGTCATCAGCTGGAGCCTTTGGGTTTGCAGGAAGCCGGGCACCTTGTTTAAAAGAACAGGCAACGCACCCTGTACTGGGCCTGCAGAATTCGGCAGAGAGTTTGTGATTTCGCTTGAGGACCAGTGTCGTCCGCAAGTGCAGGCTCTTACCTGGCTAGGATGCTGTGGTATGTTAGTGAGAAAATCTCCTTACAGGGCACAGCGACATCGGACACACCGTGCGCGACCTCAGGGGACATTTATTTCTTGAGCTCTTTGTACTTAAGGATAGAGTATCTCTTCTGGATCTTCCTTAATTGTTGTTGTTTAATGTATTTTATTGAATTTTTTTTTTTTTTTTTTTTTTTTTTTTTTTACCGAGAGAAAAGTAGAAGGATAGAGAGTTAGAAACATTGATGAGAGAGAAACATCTATCAGCTGCCTCCTGCACACCCCCTACTGAGGATGTGCCAGCAACCAAGGTACATGCCCTTGACCGGAATCGAATCTGGGACCCTTGAGTCCGCAGGCCGACGCTCTATCCCCTGAGCTAAACTGGCTAGGGTCTTCCTTAATTGTTAATCCTCACTGGGGGGATGGATGGGGAGCAACCCCGTAACCCAGGCACAAGCCCTGGACTGGGAATCGAACCTGCGACCCTTCCATTCGGAAGTGGGGTTAGGGGAGGAAGAGAGAGAGAAAAGAGAGAGAGGGGAGAGAGAGAGAGAGGAGAGAGAGAGAGAGAGAGAGAGAGAGAGAGAGAGAGAGAGAGAGAGAGAGAGAGAGAGAGAGAGAGAGAGAGAGAAAGGAAGGAATGCTCTAACCACTGAGCACACCGGCCAGGGCAAAAACCTTAGGACTTCATTTTGCTGCCTGGGAGCGTGGACTTTGAAATCTCAGGACCCAATGCATTCGGAGGAGCCCCAAAGGCAGACCCCCCTTCCCACGGACGGCTATGCAAACGAGAACTGAAGCTTGCCCTCTTGATTGGACAGAACTGGAGAAGGCGGTGCCTCCGCCCGCGTGCCCATTGGGAGCGGCGCCTGCCAATCCTCGGGAACCGGAGCCGGCACTGTCGCGGCGTCCAATGGGGAGGCGCTGCCCCGGGGCCGCCGCGCGCGGGCGGAGGCAGTTCCGGTGTGCTCCACTCTGCGCTCCGTACCCCGACGGGACGGGGACCGCCGGCTCTTCTGCGCTCGCTGGAGCTTTAGGCGACAGGTGACCATGTCCGGCCGCGGGAAGCAGGGCGGCAAAGTGCGGGCCAAGGCCAAGTCCCGGTCCTCCCGCGCGGGCCTGCAGTTCCCGGTGGGCCGCGTGCACCGGCTGCTGCGCAAGGGGAACTACGCGGAGCGCGTGGGCGCCGGCGCGCCCGTGTACCTGGCGGCCGTGCTGGAGTACCTGACGGCGGAGATCCTGGAGCTGGCCGGCAACGCGGCGCGCGACAACAAGAAGACCAGGATCATCCCGCGGCACCTGCAGCTCGCCATCCGCAACGACGAGGAGCTCAACAAGCTGCTGGGCAAGGTGACCATCGCCCAGGGCGGCGTCCTGCCCAACATCCAGGCCGTGCTGCTGCCCAAGAAGACGGAGAGCCAGAAGGCGAAGAGCAAGTGACCCCGACGCCGGCACCGGGGAGATGGCTTTCTGAGCCTCCCCCCCCACCCCCCCAAAAAAAAAAAAAAAAAAAAAGCTCTTCCCAGAGCCGCCCCCGCAGCGGGTTTGACCCTGCTGGATGCCAGGGAGGGTCGGCGCGATTTAGTGGGCTGCGGAGGGGCCCGCCGGGGTCGGGGGCCAATAAAGTCGGTGAAAATTGTGTGGTTGAGAGAGCTGTGTAGCCGCGAGGCCCGCCGGCCGCCCGGAGTCCTCCGGAGCGGATCACCCACCCGGCTCGGGTCCGCAGGTCCCTCTGGAGGCGTGACGGGCGGATCGGGAGGCCTGGAGGGACCCCCCGGGCCTGGTGGGGCAGAGTTGGGAGCTCTCCCTGGTCGCCTTCAGGCAAAGGAGAAGGGAGAGAAGGTATGGATGCGGTAGGGGGGCAATTATTTTCATGGCCTCTTCCCACGCTTTAGCTCTCCTGCCCTATGTGGGCAATTCAGAAACCAGTTCTAGAAAAGAGACGGTGGGACCCAGCTGGTCGAGGTAGGAAGTTTTCGTACTTTTCAAAATGTGGAATCACTTTCCGTCTTGGAAGAAGGACTCGGATGACACAGTCATCGACTTATATTTTTCTTAACCCGTGAGCTGTTGCTGGCATGTGTTGGATATCAGATATTTTGGTACACACACTTACGTTCACATTTCTTTAAAATGAAGGAAACACCCAGGATTGTGTGTAATTCAGAAGCATGAGTCATGAGGTTGGAAAATTGTTCCCCTGACCCTCATGTTGCATAACAGTGTGCAACGCCTTTAGTCATGAGTAGCGTATGCTTATGAGCTTTTAAGACGATTTCCCCAAGTTTCTAGCTTCATAGTGGGCTTGTCTCCATCATATTATACTCCTTTGCGAATGTAGTAAGTTTGATTTTGCTTTATAACAACAAAGAGCCTGCTTGAAATCCCTTTTGCTCTTCCACTGGCCTGAAGTAATGGCCTCATTCCAACAATGCCTATATAAGGACTAGTATGTTATTAAAGCAATGCTTTAATAAATATGTGAGATATGAGAAAAAGGTAAAGACAGATGACTTAAGTGCAGGAACAAACACATTTCAGTCAAGAATTCACATTTAAAAGGTAAACTCTAGCAATCCTATTCCGTCCTTGATTGACCCTTCCCACAAGGTTTTCCCTGCAAGCTTCCTGCTGGCCCATAACAAGGATCCCAATTTATATTTCACTTCTTTGAATTCATCTCTCCTATGAGTCAGGGTTGAAGTCTTTCTGGGGGGAGGGGGTGAGGAGAGAAGGGGAAGAGAGTATGTCTTCATTCTTAGTAGTCTTTGGCCCATTTTCCCATATGGACTTTCCCTATTCTTCCCCAGTACTTGAGCATCTCTACATGCCATGCTCAGTACTAGGTGATGGGTGGCGGGAGTACAGCTGTAAATGAAGTCAACTACTCTCTTGGAGTTCACTTTTTTCTTGATGGCTAAAGGCAGTACAATGAACAGATATCAGAGGAAGGATTCGCTTTCAGCTTCTGTTAGTACTTATGTCACTTCACTGCTTCTGGACTGAACGTTGGGATTAAATTAATCTCTAAACAATACTTTTCTCATGTGGTCATCTTTGAGGTGTACAAAGGCCGGGCTACACACACTTACATTAAGCAGATTATTGCCTCCTAATTCCTGAGGAGATTAGACCCCAAGAGTACCACAGACAGGTTCCAGATGTCCACCTATTTACTCCACTCCTCACCTTTCATCCAGAAGGCTTTCTCATGTAAAATAGTCATAATATCCCCTTGAGGACTGAGATTGTTCACTTACTACACACATTAGGCATATCTTAGGCACTCCATAAAATAAGTACCATTTCTTACAAGATTTGAGTTTACCCTTTTAGATTAAAGTATAAGTAACCATAACGAATAAGATTTTTTTGTTTTGTTTGAATTTTACTGCCCAATTGTTAGGATAGTTCTCAGTGTTTCCACTTTGGGGACATGGTAGGTGGTGGAGGGGAAAAAAAAAATAATCAAGTGCTGGTTGTGACATTTAAGTCTTCATTTCCTGAAACACTTGAGGTTTATTACCCAAATGGTGAAGAAATAAGGATAAAGGCCATCAAGACATTTATCATAAAAAAAACAAAACACTTTTCTTTCCCCTCTGAAGATTTCCCCTCTCAGGAGTCTGTCTATTGAACCCTGATATCTGACCAAGCAAGATACCAGGTGCAGTGACTGCCACCCCACCTCCACTTGCCACTGCCCTGAAATTCTTAGGTTCTCCTTAAATACTTCCCCTGCTGCAAGGTTCAATCAATCCCTCATCATTTTTGATTTTGAGAGTGTTTTTTTTTTTAACCTGAATAATTTATTAACAGTAAAAAATGCATACCTCCTGCCAAGTCAATTCAGCCTGTGACCCTTGAGCAAACAGCTCTTATCAATGTATGGTTGCTTCTTTAAAAGGCCAGTATTTCTTCAAGTACAAGACCAAATGGGAGAAATCAGTACAAAAACCGATTGGATCTGAATTCCAATTTTTAATAGATTTGTAATCCGTAGTTGTATTTTATAGACACACATAACCTTTCCTGCAGAGATAAGCCATTCAGTGGGCAGGCTGTGGCTTGGGCAGAGCTTATTTGTTTTCCTGCAGGGCCAGCCTTGCCTTTGTGTCTCTGAGAACTGGTCTGTTTGGTTTTGTGTGCCTGGAATCCAAAGGTGTAGTCTGTCTTCATAATTGCTGATGACTGGCCTAATTCATGCAAACTCTTCACAAATCCCCTTCCAGTGGTTGAAACGTCATATGCCATGGTGTTTAAGAACTCAAGTTCTTTGGAATGAGACAGGTTCAAATCCATCTTGTTCCTTACTAGTTGGCTGACTTGGGAAATGTTACTCAGTCTCTTTCAACCTCAGTGTCATCTATTAAGTGAGCCTAATAATAACAGAGCTTATTACCTTAGTGGATTTTGGAGAGGAGCCAATGAGACAATGTGAATGAGAGCAATAAGTGTTCCATATAGAACTCTATTCTTATTTTTATGGGAAAATGGATTTAGAGTGAGTAGCAGTAGTTATGGGACTTACTCATATAGGTAAACATGTCGTTCTAACAATCCTGAAACTTATTTGGTAGAAAATCATAACAAGTGTAGTGGTTGTTTTATTAATTATAGGATGTCCCTAACTCAGTCTAAATAGAAAAAGGTGCAATAAATGGTTGATGCTTATGAGCCTTAATTTGCATTCCCTTCCACTCCCCCCTTCTCCAACCCCTCACGACAATCTAGTTTGGAATTAATGGTTTGTTAAGTCACCATGCAAATTAAAATTGGAACCTGTTTACTTAACAACTTATTGTACATATGTGTTATACCTATGATTGATAACTATTGTCAAGAAAAATGGGGTTATAATAGAATAAAAAAAGATGATTATAATCTAGCAGGCTACATGTAAAGAAAGGGAGATAGCTAGGGTGTTGGTATAACAGGGAACAGACACACTTGTGTCCCTCAGCCTGCTAGGGAGAGTGACGTGTGTAAAGTCTAGATTTAAGAGTTAGCCTACATGACAGGGTGTACTGGGCAGAGAAGCAACATACACAAAGGCACAGGGGTCAAAAGACAATACGTGCAGCTGGATGTAAATGAATCCAGGAGAAAAGGTCTGGTCTGGAGATAAAAATTTACGACTCATGATTAAAAATGGTCAGAGTGGACAAAATCACCCAGAGGTCATGTGTGTGTGTGTGTGTGTGTGTGTATATATATAGATATATAGATATGTAAGTGAAAGTATAAAAAACAGCCACCGCCAACAGTGTGTGAGGATCTATGAGATCTAATTGTCTGGTGGAGGAAGAGGAGTCACTAAAGAGGAGGGAGGACGTGGCCTGGAGGACACAGGAGACAGTGTGCAGGGATAGAGTTTATCACCATGTGGATTGCTGCTCTCCTTGATAGCTCCCAATTTGCTTATACTGTGACATATAACTAGAAAACATTCTTTAGAGGTTATTACATTTTCCCACACAGCAAATGCTGACAAGCTGGCTCACTTTACTAATGGCACTGGAATGGATAGATACACTTTTACTCTTTACAGAAATATATGGTGACAACTAAAACTGACTTTTAATAAAAGATGAGAATATTATTCATAAAGAACCATTTTATTTTATTTTTATTTTATTTTCAAATATATTTTATTGATTTTGTACAGAGAGGAAGGGAGAGAGATAGTTAGAAACATCGATGAGAGAGAGTCATCGATCAGCTGCCTCTTGCACACCCCTACTGGGGATATGCCCACAATCAAGGTACATGCCCTTGACCGGAATCGAACCCGGGTCCCTTCAGTCCCCAAGCCAATGCTCTATCCATCGAGCCAAACCGGTTTCGGTAAGAACCATTTTAAAATACATTATTATCATTCCATGTAGTTGAATATATTTTTAAACATTTTAATGAAGTTTAATTTTTAAAAAAAATATAGAAACAGTGGTAATTTACTAAATCATAAAGGCACTGTAGGTATTTTAGAATGCTAAGCATTTTAAAACTAAATTTCTATAAAGCAGATATTTATTATCTCAATAGAGGGAAATGGAGAATAAGAGGAACAGAAAACATAAAAACAAGAAGAAAAAACAGGAAGCCAGCTGGCTTCAGGCAGATATGAAATGTTTTTCTCCAAGGAGAGGAAGAAAATTTTAGGTGTTGAAAACAGATTTTAATGTATCTATATATATAAAAAGCTAAGTGACCAACCATCCGTATAACCATCCACTGGCTGGTACATATGACGCACACTGGCAATTTAAAAATAAACATTGACTCGTGCATACACAATACATATAAAGCTCTTGCTGGTGCCGATCGCACACATGTGTTTCAATCTGTCATTGTTGATTATGAATTTGGTTGACACTTCTAATTAATTTCCTTTTAATGTGCACGAATCCATGCACCGGGCCACTAGTTGATAGCGAATGACAGCACATTTGGATAGTAACTTGGGTCCTTAATAATTTTATCAAGCCATGCAATTAAAAAGCCAGCACAACTTAATTCCACTTATGGAAATGAAGGAGGGATAAGCCCTACATTGAAAAATTATCTTTCTTTTAGACAAACCAGACAGGCAATCTGCTCATGAGGGCTTATTTGCTTTTGCTGTTAAGTACTTTTCAAATAAACTATCTTGTTCATGTCAAAAGCTTAAGTGATCATTGTAATTCCAAAAGACCCCTGATGAAGTTGAACCTGTTTAAAAGATAGGTGTGCAAATTACTGTTATAATGAGTAGACATAAAGGAAGCAGGTGTTTGGCCTGGAAGAGCTGCCGTTCTAGACTAATCAGGAGAAATAATAGTGTTTTGTAAAGATGTGTCCTTTCTGATTCCCAGAACTTGGCCAATGGCCAGTCATTTCCCATGGTTCCAGGCAGAGAAAACTAAACAAACCAGTTCCCAGGGACAAAAAAGCAAGAGTGAGGAAGAAGTCTATCAGAGTTAAAATGGCTACCTGAAACAGTTTGTCCTAAGATCAGTGGTCTGAGGAGAACTTCTGAAATATTCAGCTCTTGGAGATCAGCTCCAAAACAGGCTTTTTTAGGCCTATCTCCATCTTCTTCCTACAGACTTTGCCTCTTACAGACAACACTAAATATTAAACAAGCTAACAAGCAATGAAAATAAGGAAGACTAAATACAGTTTTATCAAAGAACACTGACAAAAAATTCTGAAATCTTATTCCTAAGGATACATAATAAATTCAACTTGAAGTGCTTCAACAAAATACAGAAACTCAATTCAGCATGAATTTAACCTCCCAGCCCTGAACAGGTGGCACCTCATGCAGAGATTCACGCTATTCATGAGTTGAGAGTCCTGGTCCCAGCAGCAAGCGCTTTAGATGAATCTGTGTTTTCATCCATGCTTTCTACCCAAAGACCACCGTGAACATACCTGTAGTTGAACAAGTTGGGTTTATTGCTCTTTGCAGCGAGAGAATGCATACTGTGAGGAGATGTGGTGTCTTTCACCGAGGGTATTAGAATTTATTATAGGTTTTGGGCTTGTGTTCACTAACTTTGCGGCTTTGCCCAGGATTGCACGCTCTTGGGAACAGAGAGAAACCTATACTTTGGGTAAATACATCTAATAAGATACAAGGAAAGGAGTGAGGGTAAAGTTGTAATTGGTGCATGTATTAATGCATATTGGCCAGCATAGGGGTCTGTTTTGTCATTTTTGTAGTTTGGACAACTCATATTTTTGTTTTCAGACATGCTTGCAGGATACTTGTTTTTTCACAGCTGCAGAATGGCCTTGTCTGGTATTGATGTTGTGTTGAAAATTTCCACAATAAACCACTATGTAGCTGGGTCAGGCTAACTCCTAGCAACACCAGTGCCTGGCTAACAGACAGGGCCTTTTCATGGGCTGCTTCCTCCTTTCTCAACAGCTAGAGGGAAACATGTGACATGGAGAAGAGGGCTTACTGAGCAGTGGAAGCAGACAGACATCTCAAAGCAAATGCTGCAGTGCCTGAGCACCATGCAAGAGAGCTGCTGTCAGTGGGTATTTCAGTTCCACATTTATGTACTTTAAATATCCGAGTCCTTGTTTTCGTGTTCAAAGGACTTTTCTTTTTTTGTCTTCATATAGAGTAACAATGTTTCAGTTTTTTAAACATGGTAATCCATATATTTCTAATAATTCTAAAATTTACATACTTATATATACTACTTATATATGTAAATATATATATGAAATAAATGTGGTGGCCTTACTTTCCTCTTTTCTTCCAATATGCAGCTTCCCATTTGCCCAGCCCAAATAAAAAACCGATGTTATCCTGATTTGAACTTGTCATATAATTAAAAAAATTATCGTAAAAAACTCAATCCAATAAAAATCTAGACATTTGTTTACTAAGCATTGGTTTTTCTCATTCATAAAAGTAGGGAGCCCTAGCCCGTTCGGCTCAGTGGATAGAGTGTTGGCCTGCAGACTGAAGGGTCCCAGGTTTGATTCCAGTCAAGGGCATATGCCTGGGTTGCAGGATCAATCCCCAGTAGGGGGCGTGCAGGAGGTAGTCAATCAATGATTTTCATCATTGATGTTACTCTCTCCTCGCCCTTTCTTTCTGAAATCAATAAAAATATACTTTTTAAAAAAGTAGGGTAATAAAATTCCTTAATTTTCTAGCAGTTAGTGACTAGTGTATGGTAAGAGCTTAATCAATCACTACTATTATTGATTATACTTTCTGCTTCACTTTCCTTTCCCTTTGGCATTTTCTCTCATTCAGTGCTTATAATATCCTCTACCTGCCTCCTGAGCTTCATACTTCACTGGCCTACTCAAGATTTCCGTAAGGGATCTGAAATGCAGCCTGACCCAAACTGGGCCCATTCCCTTCATTCTATACCCCTCAATTGACACATCTGTAAAACGAAGGAAATAATGGGTAGCTACTTCACGGGTTAAGGATTAAAATAATACACGTAAAACACGTTGTAGGATGCCTGGCACACAGTAAACACCGTTAGCTGCTGCTACCATCCTTTTTCTCTACAGCTTCACACCTTTTACCTACTGATGCTGCCTACAACCCAAGCCCTAAATTGGAGACCCTAAATTGTTCTCTTCTGCCTCACTCCCTACAGCACATTGATCATCCAGTCTTGTGATTTCTATCTCTGCAATAGATCTCTCAACTCTTCCACCCTCCTGTGCTGTCTGGGCACTCTCCATCTTCTGCCCGCAATGGCCTCCTAATGTGTCTTCCCACCCCTGGTCTTTCACCCTCAGGTCCATCTATCCCCAACACATAGCCAAAGGTCTCATTCTGAAATGCAAATATAGTTCTAACAAACACATATTTACCATGTGCCAAACACTATTTTGAGTTTTACAATATTAACCATTTATTATACATATATTCAATGACTACTCCCTCTTTCATACATTACTCAATAAATCATATTATTTTTTATCTTTTAGGTATACATGAAAGGGATCTATGATATAATGGGAAGTAATAATAGATATGCCTAGTCTGAATACAATGCATACATTGTTTCATTGTGTGTGTGTGTGCACCCAGGCATGTGTGTCTGCCTATGAAATAAACTATCTATTGGGCCACTGGGTTAATCACACGAGCCTTTCAGCTTTGATACTCCCATTTCTAAAACGGGGAAAATATCTTTTAAAGTCATTTCCCAGAATTATAGGGTAGATGAGTTAGTGATTAAAGCAGTTTGAAAATAAAATATTACCAATACAAATTAACATCATTAAGCATTCTTATTCATTGTATGTGCTTTTATAAAGAAAAGCTTTAAAAAAAGAAAAGTAACCTTTTAATTTTCTTATAATAGTTTTAAAAATGTCTCAAAAGGTTTTCCATTCAATCAGTTCACAAAGCTCTAGGAGAATGTTATCTTTGAGGATAAGACTAAATATGTTCTTAGCAATAAATAACACCTCTCAATTTTTTTAAAGACAATAACGTAGTTCTGAGGGAAAATAATTATTTCTCGTCTTTATCCCTTTAACTTTAAAACTTAGTTTCAATAAGATTCTCATTCTATACTTTTAAACTCAAGGAACTTTTCTGATCATAAAAAAGATAACATGTTCATACATTATCAGGAACTCAGAGGATCTTGGGGTAGAACATTTATTTCATGAAACAAAGTTTACGTCAGTGGGAAATAATTTTAATTAAGGAATTGTACATTTTCTTCCCACATGTCTTGCTTTGTATTAGGAAATGACGTTGTGATCCATTTCACTACAATATTACAAAATATTTACAAGAAAATATTAAAAATAAACACAAAAGGCAAGATGGAGTAAAATAAACTGTTTCCTCCCCCAAAAATCTCTATTCCAGAGCCACAGCACACAAGAGAATCCATAACAAATATGCCCCAGATCACAAGTTCCAAAGGACTGGAGAGGGGAAGAACTGGGATGGAGGTGGTGGTATGAGAGGGAATGGACGTTTGCAGCAGGACTGCTTCGGTAACCAGCCTAGCCTGAGTGAAATACCCTCTCTTGTATGCAGTGAATTCCAAACAAGGCTAAACGTCTCGATATTCCTTCAACTGAAATTAGAAAATACCCTGACAATAAAAGTAGCTCTGTTGTCTAAGTTTCCTAAGAGCCTCTTTTTCCACAAACCAATGATATGAACAGAAGTGTGATCCGGCATCAAAAGTAGTCACAGCAGCCCTTCCATTTCTTTCATAAAAGCTTCATAGACATCATCCTTAGTTTGTACTGAGACAGGAACAGTTGGACCAGATTTGGGAGCTGCTTTGGCAAGAGGCACAGCAGAGTCATCCTCTGACTTTCTCTGGGGAGCAGCAGTGGCCCCTTTATTCTCCCGGCGGACCCTCAGGGCGGTGGGCACGAAGCGAGTAATCTCTGCCTTGGGATTAGTGATTTGTGGCTTGGCACTGATGGTTGCTGTGGCTTTCTTCTCAATGGTGGCTGCACTGGTGTCATCCGCCTTGGGTCGCTGAATCAAGTTGGGTGGAGCACTTAAAACTCCTGGGTTTGGCAAGGGAGCCGGTGGGAAAAGCCCAGGTGGGGCAGGTCCAAGTGGAGGCACCAAAGGTGGGCGCATCATGCCAGGACGAGGTGGAGGGATACCTAAACGAAGGAGAAAACAGCCTGAGGAACACTACAGAAACTAATAAAATATAATTACAACTAAGGTGTTATAATAAGCTGACAACTAAAAAAAAAAAAAAAAAAAAAAAAAGGACAATTTACATAAAATAAGCTGAAATCATGCTACTATTTGAAATTTAAACATATTCTGAAAGTAAGGAATTTATATGCCTAATAAAAGAGTAACATACTAATTGACCATACCTTTGTGACACCCACCAGCCAATCAGGAGCAAGTATGCAAATTAACTCAACAAAGATGGCAGGTTAATTTGCATACACAGGCATCCAGTAGCTGTGGGTGGTGTGGGATGCAGGCGTTCTGCACCACCCCAGCTGCTCTGGGCCTCTGGGCAGCGTGTGAAGGCAGAAAGGCTACTCTGGGACAGAGTGGAAAGGCTGCTCCAGGCCGGAGCAGAAAGGCAGCTCAGGCCAGAGCGAAAGCAGTGCCGGCAGCCAGAGGAAGGAAGGCCCATTCTTGCATGAAACTTCATGCATCGGGCCTCTCCTTTATTATAAAACAATATTCACCTCTAGTCTGTATTTTGTACTTATAGTAGTAATGTTTTCTTCTCTAAACAATGTACTACTTTAAAATATTAAGTAAAACTGAAAACACCAACTAGTTTTAAATATGATTTTAAAATAGTTAAGTTTCAAATTTGACAGCCCAAGAGTCATAGTGCAGACAAAGTTGGGCTTTGATTCTCATGGGGTTTGATCTTCACACTACTCCTCCCCACAACATGGTAGCTCCACAAGTGGGAAATAAGATACTGTAACTAATCACAGTATGTCACCATTCTTTTTTTAATTTTCTTTTTATTTATTTTTAAAATATATTTTATTAATTTTTTACAGAGAGGAAGAGAGAGGGATAGAGAGCTAGAAACATCGATGAGAGAGAATCATCAATCAGCTGCTTTTTGCACACCCCCTGCTGGGGATGTGCCCGCAACCAAGGTATATGTCCTTGACTGGAATCGAACCTGGGACCTTTCAGTCCGCAGGCTAACGCTCTATCCACTGAGCCAAACCGGTTTCGGCTATGTCACCATTCTTGGAAAAGAATCCAAGTCCCATTAACGAATTGTTCAGACATATTTTACCAAGAACAACAGGTTTAATTTTCTTCAACTGCCATTTTTATGAATAAATATTAAGTACCAAATTTTGTCAAATCTAAGATGCTATGGCTTATACAAACTCATAAATATTCCATATAGAATTAAGAGAGGGGAAAAAATGTCCAAGCTGGGGGCTTAAAAGACTTTTATACTAAACTGAGATAGTCAGTGCAGTAAACCAAAATTATACTTGCCACACAAGGAAATAACACAAGGAAATTTGCATATCTAGCATTGAAACTGGGCTGAGAAAAAACAAACATCCTTGTGATTTTGAACTTTAAGTTGGTACTTATGTAGATGAATGGAATCACTACAATTATAAATGAACTAAAAACTCAAATGGAGAGTTTAATCCAAAGTGGTCTCTGGCTGGAGCGTCCCTCAAGTGACAGGCAGAATAATGCAAATACTCTAGGAAAGAATTCAAATTCAACCCAAGATAATAGCAATGAAAAACACCATTTTAAGCTACCCCTTCAATTCAGGTTATTGAAATGTGAAAATATGTCCCAGAGCAAATAAAATATACAGGTTGGGCAAAAGTAGGTTCACAGTTGATTGAATAAAAAATAATACAATAATTAATCAATAATGCTACAAGAATAAACTGTGTTTGCATAATCGAAACTGTAGACCTACCTTTGCCCCACCCAGACAAGTGTTCGCTCTGGAAATAAAAAGCTTTACCTGGAGGTGCAGGGGGAGGTAGCCTTGGTGGGGGTCCCCGAGGAGGAGGGCCAGGAGGCAGACCTGGAGGTGGGCCCGGAGGGGGGCCAGGGGGTCGGCCTGGTGGAGGCCCTGGAGGTAAAAGTCGGGGCAAAGGCCCTCGGAGTCCTGGCATTCCAGGTGGTCTCAGGAATGGAGGAGCTCCTGAAAAGATAAGGATAAATTAATGTCAAACAAATATATATGAAGCAGTAACTATGATATAAATAAAAGTAACTCAAATGTGATATGATTTATCACTTTAGCCTATAATCAGATAACTTCAAAAACTGATTGAAATGTGTGAAGTAGAATTCATCCAACAAATATCAGCACCAGAGATAGGGTACTGAATTTTTTTCGGATCACCTCTTTATTTCCCAGCACTGACCAAAAGGATATGCAATCACAGCTCTGTTGGGCTGGAAACATATGGAAGTGAGAAAAATTTTTAAATGGTTCTAACATGAGCTGAAAATGGACTATAAAGTAAAGTGCTTTAATGACCTCCTGAACTCATAAAGACAAAGACCACTGAGAATGACATAAGATAGGTCATTTTGCTTTGGACCAATAGGAAAAAGATGAATTAAATTGAAGAGAACTTAATTGGCTGTAGAGAATAAATAAAATTATGAAAAGCCAAGTTCTATGTTGTTTCATATTATAAATAAACTTTTTATATTTTAAGCCAAAGACCTGGTTAACTATAAAGATTGTCTCTAACTATAAAGATTACACTAACATCCAATAATCTCCAAACCAAAGGATATGAGATTAATATTTACTGTGTTCTAGTACCACTGGCTACCAATTTTAAATGGGGTCGGTCAAATTAAAAAGCAGTATTAAATAAACTCTTGGTTAAATACTCCAGTTTCTGCCTGCTAGGATCAGAACTAATGATGAAAAAGGAAGATCTTGGGAGAAAAATATGGGTAGCAGAAAAACTAAGTTGCAAACAATGCTGGAAGAATACACCAGTTGCACTTATCCTTTGAGAATCCTTGATTTCTTAAGAAATTGCACCAGGATAAATAAGAAAACATCAATACTAATGGTATATATTTTTTGGAATAACTTCACTCTAACCACATGTGGTCTTAATTTACTCATAAATGGAAATGCTTACCTGGAGGTGGTCCAGGAGGAAGGCCTGTAGGTGGTCCAGGTGGCCGTAAAGGTGGAGCAGGAGGTGGTCCAAGAGGAGGTGGTCCTGGCATGGGAGGTGCTTGTATCTGAGAAGGGGGAACAGACTGTGGGGGAGCTTGCTGCTGTGAGGAAGCAGATGTGCCATCAGAAAGAGACTCCTCTTTATGCTGCTTTTGTGACTGCTTTTCTGCTTCAGAATCATCTGAATCACCTTCATCATCGTCCTCTGAAAATTCCTCTACTTCTCGTCCCTCCTCAGGGATTTCCTGACCTGAAAGAAATTTTAAACCAGGTAAATGAAGTTGACTATTTTTTACAGACAAGGAGCCAGTAAAAGAGTGATGATTGAAGACACATGCTCAATAAATGCTTTCTTAAAATTAACAACCAAATAGACTTCTTCAATAAAATACCTTAAATATGGAAGAATTAAATGGCATTCCACTCATCTGTACTGGTGCAGCATGATGGAGCAGGCTTTAGAACAAGACAGACCTGTATTTAAATGCCAGTTCAACCATTTACCAGCTGTGTGTAGCTTTGGGCACCTTTAATGTCTGCAAACCTTACCTTTTGTGAAATGAGGATTTGTTACTTATTTCAGGGTGGAGGGGATACTAAAGGGAAAACGTATATAAAGAAACTGGCATGAGGAAATATCAAAAGGTGATTCACTACTCTTTTACTACCTTACCTGCCATTCGAAGCATCATGGCTTGAAGAGGAGTTAGCTCCTTAATGTTCTTCTTCTTCTTCCTTGATTTCCCAGGCATATCTGCGAATCGTACACTCAGGCCTAAGTTGCCAGAGGAGGGAGAGAATTTTGTTGAATTGGCATCAACAAAATTCAGTAAATGCTTACTAAATAACATGTCTTAAACTATTAGACACAAATGCTGCATGTAAATTTCCTAAAAAAATTTGCAGAAGAATAAGCACAGAAAAAGAGCCATATTAAAGGTAGTATATAAAATGCCAACTGTTGGTAAATACATGCTATAGTGATTTAAAAGTGATTTAAAAAAAAAACAACAAACTTCAAGAATACAAATAACATCTTTATGCCAATAAAATTGAACACCAAAATAAAAATAGATAATTTTTAAGAATGTAAGTTACTAAAATTGGTAAACGAAGTGGTATGACCAGACTAAACAAAAATGAAATGGTTGCCAAAGATTTGCTCACTAAAGGCACCTGGCTAAAATGGTTTTTATAAGGAAATTCAGCCAAACATTACATTACAGAAATTTCCTGTAAAAGGGAAGAGGTAAGGATGGAATGCTATCCAGAACTCATGAAACTAGCATTATACTAAATGATATCAAAACGATACCAAAACTAACCTATTAGCCAACATAAAATATAAGCAAATTGAATGACAGTTTAAGAAAGAAATTGTTAACACAAAAGATTGGTCCCAGAAATGCAAGATGGTTTAACATTACAAAAGCTATAATGTGAATCTTTTGTCTTTTACCCTAGACAAGCCACAATGCAGTTCATTACAATAAAAAATTAAGCATTCCGACAGATGCTTAAAAAGTATTTATTATAGTTCTTAGAAAACTAGAACTAGGAGGGAACTTCTTAACTTGTCTTGTGAAAAGGCTCTTCACTAGACACTTTTCAACATCATACGAAATAATGCAGTGTTAGGAGCATTCTTGGTAAATATTTACAAAAGGATAAGAATTCTATGTGGGTAGGCTTTAGTTTTGTTTATACCACATCCTTATAAACAGCTGCAAAAATGCCTTGTATACAATAAAAACTCAGTAAATATGATCTGAATGAATGCACTGATCAAGTGTGCACTGATAAGTACATGTTAAAAAAAAACAGTTGTCAGAAAGAAGAAAATAAGTAAAGATCACAAGGTCCCAGAAGAAATGAGAGCCGCTGTAGCTCTAAGGGCTTTCTACTTTCTAGTAATAGCTCCATAGTAAGGGTGCTCCACAATTTTTCATTACCAGTTCTCTCCATCCACTCTTTTAAATTAGCTTTTTGATTTGCAACCATAATTCTTAACAGGAGAAAAAAATTGTCATTATTATAAATACTAATATTATTAAAACACAAATACAGAAGTGGTAGGCTACAAAAATAATTCCAAAAGAAACTTTAAAGACTATTGGGGTGTGACGCATTATACATTTTATAATGCTTAATACCTATTACAATGGTTGAAATTTTCTTGATGAATATCATAATTACTTTTAAAAATCACACCTAACTCAGTCTGAATTTATAACAATCAAACACATAACATACATTATGGATATAACATATTTTCATTAAGTCATGACTCCAATGGCCTATTTGTATAATTATGGTTCTGATTCATTTAATATATCACGATCATACATAATTTAAAGCTAGGTATTTAAATGTAGATATTTAAATAGACTTATTAATACCCATGAGTATATCTTTATGCTGTTGAATAGCTATTATCTTCCCTTCAAAAGACATTTTTATTATATTTATAGTTTAATTGTTTTTACATTTATTAGTACTTGGTATGTGTCAAGAACTTTGAGATAGCTGAGATATAAAGAATACAACTATGATCCTTCCTTGCAAGGAGCTCACAATTATTTCCATAGATGCATTAATAAATCAGGACTTCAGTCTGTGTCCCATTTATTGATCAATACCATGGAACTTTCATCTGCACATACCTGGTTTTTTTTCTTCATTGTTACTTCTTTCATTATCATCTCGGTGCACAAATTCATCTCCTTCACTTTCTCCATCTGATCTGTCAGTGTCGCTGTCATCAGTACTGTCATCATGCTTATCTTGATCCATGTCCTCAGGATAGCCATCATCTTCACTGGTGCTGGAAACATCATCATCATGACCTCTTTGAGCTGAAAAGGGAGGAGGGAACAAATAATATGATTGGATCCTCCTTTACATGATACTCCGAAACACAGAAAATTATGCTTATTAGTATGTAACACAATTATCTAATTGTTTTAAAAGTTTGTGTAGATCTCAGCTATTCAGATGGTCTGACAATATTTTCATTTCACAAGTTAAAATTCAAATTTGAAAACAAATTATATTTAGAAGGTTGTAAACATACACATATACACAATCACTATGACTAAACAATAATACTCAGTGCAGATGACAAAGCTGAAGGGGAAACAGATAGCTAAGTCTTAGGGAATTGCTAGTGAGTGGTATTTCTAGGAATAGCCTAATTTGAAACAAAATAAACATTTCTATACTTTGTTATGTTTGATGCTTTTACTTGGCTAGATCCTATGATTTATCCATCCTATTTTCCAAATTCTGAGGGTGGTGAATGGGGCCAACAAAACAAATGACAGGGGAAAGGCTGTAAGAGCAAAAGGAACCTTCACTCCTTACCAAGTTCAGGACTATATAGCATGTCTTCATCTCGCCGGCGAGGGGGAAGATCCAGGGCAAAGCCCACTTTACGGCCATACATTTGCAAGACTTGAGGAGGAGGTGGACCAGGGGGCGGACCAGGAGGTTTTCTACCAGGGGGCAAACGTGGAACACCATGCCCAAGAAGAGGAAGAATAGAGACTGCCCTAGTAGGAGGCCTGTAAAGAAAATTTTATAGGTATCACGTTAACAGTGGTACTTACTTCCTCTTCTATACAATTTCCAAAGGACTTCAAAATTTCATTTTTCATCAATTCAGATGCTGCTTATATTCACATTGTCTTTTATTTTTTGCTGCATTAATTTTGGCTCTAGATAGCCCTGAGGTGCTTTTGATACATGCGATTTGATTATGCTAACAACTTACCCATAGGCTGAGGTCTTCTTAAGGATGGAGGGTGGCTGGGCACCAGGAAGTGGAATATCCTGGATCAAGATGTTGGAAGGAGCATGAGGCATATCCGGCAAAGGGATACTATCCACTTCCACATGCTGAGCATTCTGAAACAGAAAGAATCTGTCAGTAGAAGGTAAGAGTAATCCACAAATTTGACACTAAAAATTCAATGTCAGCTGAAAAACTTGGGATTTGCTTTTCACCTAAAATGTATGTCACAAAAAACTAAGAACAGGCCTCATCAATATTTCCAGTCTGTCAATAAACTGGAAAAAAAAAAAATCATCTATCTCCTATAAAAGAATCATACCCAATTGTTTTTCTGCCTGTATCAATTAATTCTTTTTGGTTTTGGTTTGAAATAGCTGCTGTTTAGAGATGTGTAGGTGTCTGGTACTAAAGCCACCCTATTTAATATTCTGAATGACAAATAACATATATCAATTAACAGAGTATTTATTTCCAGTGGCAGAGCTTGAACTCTAACATTCGTTTGCCTTTGATGAAGTTCTGCCACATATTAGGAGCATGACTGAGCAAGTTATCTTAGTTTTCTTTTTCTGTAAATGGGAACCCATACTACCTACTTTACAAAAATTGTAGCATTTGGTGTTTTACAATTTTATTTTGAGGCAAAATTCACAATGACATTTAAAATTCAATGAGTTCTGACAAAAGCATGTATTCATACTAGTAATTCCCAGTTAATCCCTAATGATATCCCAAAACAATTGCCACTACAAATTTTTCGTTACAATATCAAACAAATGGAATCATAACTACAGAAGTTTGGTATGTTTTGTTTTTGAGATTTAAAAATACCTGAGCAATTTCCAGTTTTTGTCTATTAATGTGTTAGCAGATGAATTTTTCTTATATATGCTCAGTTTGATAAAAAATTGCCAAGAGTAAGAGGTTCAACAATCAATTCTCCCATTAAGCGAAAATCTAAATATAACACTTTAGTTTCTCTTTCAAAAGAAACTAATTACCTTCACAGCATCAAAATATTGGCTAAGTTGAGCCCTTTTCTGTTCATATTCTACTTCTAGCTTTCTCAATTCTTTGTAAATATCTGGATTCTCTTTTTCATAGAGTCGTAGAATACGTTCAAAGGTTTCACGCAGCTTTTTACGCTTGTCTTTCAGCACCTTCTCATTTAATTGTGGCTGTTGCACTGGGTTAAACTCTGAGAGAAAAGAGATTATGGAATTAAATTCAAAAAGTCACTTCATTTAGGTTGTCAAGAGACTATATGATTTAATAAAAAAATTTTATTGTAACATTTTTAAAAGGGAGGTAGGCACCAGATATATCCTACAATTCCTAAAGAACTGCAATAGGTACTTATGAAAATTACTTTTTTAAGAGGGCCATTTATTGTATTTTCCTAAGAAATGTCACCTAATTATACCATCATCACTATAATAAAAATCAACTTTCACTCCTCTATGCTAATGACTGATATAGTTAAGCTTCAGCCAGAGACCTAAATCCTTGGCTCTGTCATTTAACTCTGAGATCTCAGGCACTTTACTTAAATTCTTTTATTATCAGCTTCTTCATCTGCAAAATGGGGACATCAACTATGCCACAACAAGGTATGGTGATTAAATGGGATCACATAAAAAATATCCAGAGGTGTCTGGTTCATCATTTAACTATGTTGTTCTTTTGTCTTGTTACCATATAACCTTCTCTTCCCAAATCTGCCTGGCAGTCATACCTGTCCCCCTCCATCACTCTTGCCAGAGACTGACTCAGAGATCAAATGGTACATGATCCAAACTGGGGCCAGATCCCTGTCTGAGGTTTTAAAATGCAGATGTGGGAGAAAGAAGCTTTCACAACAGAGATGAAATAAACCTAGAGCTATCTGCGACCTTGTCTCCCAACCACCATTCATTTTCCATACTTATTCTACCTTCTACCCCAAGAAATTCGTTAGGAGTATTCTGAATAAAGATAACATAAAAAGACCACTGAGACGAATAGGCTTGATAATGATATCTGGGTTTTTGAGGTCAGCAGCCCTCAGGGATTTCCAAATTATGGGAGTCAATGCATACTGGTTTTTTTTCCTGATTAGTTTATACTGAATTTTCTATATTGTAATTAGAATGCTGATATAGTGTTCCTTTCTCCCTTTTTCTTATCGACTAACAAGTTTAATTATCTTCTCTAAATCTCATTAACTTGTCAATTTAATCAAAACCAGAGGGTATTATCTTACACCATAGTATTCCTGGTGTGATTAAAGTTCCAAATCAATGTAGGATCATTTAATAGGTAATAAATATCCTGATACTCTGGGGACAGCATTTGTCCTTACTGGAATTTAGACCAGAGGCAACAAGTGGATCAGTTACAGCTGAACTGGGAAAGATTTGGCATCATGCAGCCTGGCCCAGAACTCTTGCCCAGGTTAGTGCACAGGCTCTGCCAAATTACTTTAGAACGCTTATAATACTGCATGCACATGAAGCTGGATTTTTTTGGGACCCCATTTAATTCATCATCAAGGAGATCCACTGTAACTCTTACTGTTTTTGAGCAAACAACTGAAATATTTTGGGTACCTTTGTAAACAAAAGTTATAAAGATCCCTTTAATATGTAATTTAAAAAGTGGTAGAGGCAGAAGAAAGAGTGGCAAAAACTCGACAGCTAAAAAGCACATAGGAGTTGACTAATTATGCATGTTGGGAAACTTCTATTAAAAAAAATTTAAAATCCCATGTTCTAATATTAAGAAAGTAAGTATCTGTGGAATAAAATTTCCAGTGGCAGAATCACACAGGATTCTCTATCTACCTTAGATGCAAGGAAAGATAACATCTAGTGACCTCGTGTGGTTCCAGTTATGACAAAGCAGTGATACTGAAGATTCCTATAAAGACTAAATAAATGTATGAAATGTGAAAAAAAAAAAAAAAGGGAGGGATCCCAATATGGTAATTGTTATTAAGTATGTGATGATTTCTGCTATATCCTTACTAAGTAGTCAAGTACCTGTGGATAATCTCATTGGAAAAAATGGGAAACTGATATACTCATGGGGCCTAATAGATTTACTCGGTAGCTGTCAAAATTAAAAAAACAAAACAAGACTAACAAAAAACCTCAAGGTGATTTGAGAAGCCAGATTTCTGTCTTCTCTCAAAAACAATGAGCTAGCCAAAGTGGGTGTTTATTACCTAGTAACAATGAGCTCAAGCTAAATAATGTCTTCCCTCTTATTCCAGGTTATCTTCTGTTTACAATTAACTCCCCACCACCCCATTTTGTTGTTCTGATATTAAAACCAAATTCAAAGATCAAATGCCACCATGCTTTAGTTTTTCTTACGCCTGCTCTGCTTCACTCAGTATCTGCATGCCTGCCTCTGTGTATCAGACTGTTATTTTTGCCATAAAATCTAGCCTTTTAATAAATAAATTCTTACCCATTTCATCCAATTTCTCCATGTCCCGGATAATTTGTTTGGGATCCTTCATCTTCAAAACTGCAGCTCGTACCATCATGCGCTGTTTTTTGTTCTTGGGAAAAGGAAAGAGCAGTATATCAAGAAGTTGGACACTCATGAGTTTTTATTTCAATCTGCTTCAAGAATCTATTTAAACTGGGATTGAACTTCTTGGTTTCTGATCTCACCAGAAACAGAACTATATAACTTTTTACTCTAAAGAAATGTTTCAACTTTAGACAAAGAGATAAATAAATGTTATTTATTAGAAGTGCTTTCTGAGGCAAGTATTTATGAGACCTAAAGCAGTCACTTAAAATATTTTAGCTTTTTTACTTAATAAACAAAGGTTTCAGCTACATTCTAAAATTATATACCAATAAAGTTTTGAAGGATTTTAACACTAAATAATACAACAAAAATACACAATTGAAAACAATTAAAACCTTAACATTTTCTCAACATGTTAAGGTATTATTCTAACAAGTAAATCCTTCCTTATTTTGGGAAGCACTTTGTCACAAACTCTTCATCTATAAAACCAGGACAATGAACAATTCAGCATCACATTTATTTTCATTCACTAGTTCAGTAGCTGTTAACAAAGTAGTATATCATAATAACTAACAAAAAAGTGACTTTCACAAGTATTTCCTTAGCTCACTGGGAAACGTAATCAAGTAAACAATGTGACACATTGTGAGCTATCTGCAAGGTTACTCACTTCAGTTTCCAGGTACAGATGGCCCTGACTTCCCATGGTCTGACTTTACCATGGTGCCGATGTCATGTACATTCAGTAGAAACTCAAATTTAGATCCTTTTCTGAGCTAGCCATATGCAGTTCGACAATTTCTCATGATGCTGGGCAGCAGCAACATAATTTTGCCCAACTGTAGCCTAATGTATGTGTTCTGAGCATGTTTAAGGTAAGGTAGGCTAAGTTATTAAAAGCGTTTTTACTTAAGATATTTTCAATTTATGATGGATTTATCAGGGCATAACAGTAAGCTCATCTTAAGTCAAGGAGCATTCGTATGATATTTCGGATTAGTAAATTTTATGGCTTATTATAAGAAGTATATTTTCTGGCAAATAATTGAAAATGTCATATTAAAATCCACTAATCCCAAATGTAAGATGTGACAAACAACACTTATAGCTAATTTGATAATCTGAAATCATACCTTCTTTAATTCTCTCTTCCGGGCTTCTTTCCCTTGAGAAAGAGAAAGAGAGAAGACAGACCTTTCAAATCGTGACCATCACAGCATTTCCTCAACACAGATAATTCATATTGTGTGTGGCTGTCCTGTACTCTGTGGGTCTTTTTAGCAGCATCACTGGCTTCTACCTACTGGATACTACTAGCACCCTTCTAATTTGTCAACTAAAAATGTCAACATCCTTTTTGTTTTCTTAACAATTAGGTACATAAAGAAAAAAAATGTCATAAAATATTAAAGAACCTGGAAACCTAGTTTGTTCAGAATTCTGAATACATAAAGAAAGCTTTAAGCTAATTCTATTGTGCAAGTCAATCAAATTAGAAATATGGGTGTGAATTTTTTTTTTTTTTCATGTTTGAGTGTTAATCATGTGCCCACAAGAACACTGGATAACTTCACACAACTGACTCCTAGCACTGCTGGTCTTGTTAATTAGAACATCAAGAAATAGATTCCCTAATGCTTACAATTTCTACCACTTCTCCTCTACAGCATCCTCATTAATGAATACTTACGGGCTTGGTCTGTGGGGTTCATAAATTTTCCACTCTTGGTGGATGATGTAGATCTTCGTCCCATGTTGACAATCTGTGTGGTTCACTTATTTATTAAAAAAAAAAAAAATCAAACTACCAGGATCAACATAAGAATGTCCAAACCTGTAGAAAAGTTGTAAAAGAGCCTATTAGAGCTTATCTGAGCCAAACTGATGCCCTGCCTGGCAGCAAGATCTCAAAATTGCTCTGGATGATGACAGCTTTGCAGTCCCTGTTATACCTTGGGCACTAAGGAGGGAATGTGAGCGCTGAGGTGGGAGAAAGGGAGGAAATACCTAAGACTGGGTTTCAGGATAGTTAAGAAGATAATGTGGCCCCTTGGAGGTCCTTAAACTTTCGGAGGGGTCCGAAAAAGCATTTTAAAAGTGTGTTAACCAAGAAGCACACTCACACTGACAATGTGGCCAGGACTCGCTCAACAAAACCAGAAACCTTTTACTAGGAACGTTACAGGCCGGAGGTAGGCTTTTTAGTGGTAGACCTTACAAGGACACCTTTCCTTCCCTGTACAGATCGTATCAGGCATTCTCAGTGCCTCCTTCAGCAGGTGTCCCATTGATTGCCCTGCTTGTGCCCAGTGCTTTCCGCGCGCTCGGTGGCACCGAGTCTGCCCGGTGAAGGGGCTCCTCCTCTGAGACCCCGGGGGCCGCGGCAGCAAAGCCGGAACGAACCCCAGCTCTCCTACCTCTCTCCGGTGCCCCCCGGCTCTTGTTTTGGCTCGCCTTTCCGAAACGGAACCAGGGAATACTATGTACAGAAGTCATGTCTACAGAAGACGGCGCAGCGTTGGTCTGCGCACACGACGGTGTGGTCTTAAAGCCCCGGCGGCAGGGAAGGCGGGCCCCGGGGCCACGAGGGAGCTCCGCCCCGGCAGAGAGGCTCCCCGGGGAAGGAAGGAGCCGCCGCCAGCGCGGGGTCAACCTCGGCGGCAACCGCCGCAACCATAGCGACGGTTGACCCCGACTCGAGGTGCAGACATCCAACCCAAGGCCACCTACCAACCAACGCGGGCGGGCAGACAGGAGGCGGCGCTAACTGGCCCGGGCGAGGTCCGCCGCCAGGCTAAACCGCTGGTCGCCGCTCCGCCCCAGGCTCGGGGATCCCCTCCAGCCCGCGACCCGGGAGACCCCAACCGCGGGGAGGAAGAGCGGGGCTCAGGGGCCTACCGTGCCCGCGGCCACCGCGCGGGCCCCTGAAAGGGACGGAAGAGATGAAGGACCCGATGGGGACGACCCCGCACACTCACACGCCTGCTGGGCTCCAGGATTGCGAGGAGCCGGGAGGGGAGGGTTCTCGGCCTCTTTCCCTTCGTTAGGGGCCTTCACCACGGCTCCCGGTCAGCTACCCCGCAACCGCCATCTTGAAACCTCGCGCCCCGCCACCATCCCTACGTCACTTCCTATCGCTGTGGGCCCGAGATCTCGGCGTTTCTCGGCCCTGGAGACGTACGGCGTAACCAAGGACTCCACGGCTGGAGTCTCTTCCGCTCCAAGACTGAACCCAATTGGTTGGTTATCTGCTAAGAGCCCTCCCTAATGTTACGCAGTACAAAGACGCTAAGTTGATCGACACTTCTGTAGGCCAATAGGAATAAGGAAACGAGCCGGCTCGGATATGATTGGCTGGTATAAAGATGGCCCTGCCTCTTGGGCCAGAGATAGTCCGACCTAAACCCGGTGCTTAATTGATTGCTTTTTAGACCGGCGGATTCAATAACGGGAAGTGTGTTATGGAGTTTCTGCGTCCTGGAGTTGTACTGGCTCTGGGGTTCTCTCTCTTCATGACGTAAACTAGTGTGATCTTTTAGGAATATCTGTTTGGAAACGAATCCCCGAATAAACATATGTATTTGCTACTGTGTTTTGCCAGCGTCTGGAGTTCAGTAGTTGTTTATGAACACAGAACGTTTGTAGATATGTGAGCAAATGAATCAGTGCCCTTATTGGAGTCCCGATTGCTAATCTACAAGAAGGAAGTGTGGGGATACTTGTACTGTCCGATTTAAATTTAGGACAGTTGAGGTGGTTATATTCATTGGCTTCTGGTCTTTTTACCAGCCAAAACCCCTATGTGATGTCACTATACGTAGGCGATTATTCCCTTAGTTCTAGCGTTCGAAGGTTCTTTCTTTCTCCTCCATCCGCTCTTTAAGTCTCCTCCCCTGTCATTTCCTCTTAAAGGTAATTTTAAATACTTAAAAAAATGATCCCCTTAAAGAATACACTTGTTTATTTTTTTATCTTACTCTGAAGATAAATATTCTGAATATTCCTTATAGGAAAATGTTAGATATAGGTCATTTCTTAAATCAGTGATCAATATTCTAAAATACTGGTGGAGATACATATTAATGTTTGGTAGAATATTTAAATGTGCACTTAACTGTTTAAGATTGGTCCTTTATCTGAACTAACTGTAGTTTTAGGAAATCCTTGATTTGGTTTTAGATTGACTTGAGTCTCAGAAAGAACAGTAAAATGTTCTTGTAGTTTAAAGCTTATAAACTAGGTAATAACAAAAATAATACTGAAGTAAATAGTAATATTTTGGAACTAATATTAAAATCAATGATAGAAGAGAAAATTAATATTTTTGAAAAATTAATGTATTTCATTCTAGCTTTTACTTTTTGAGATATGCTGAGGTTTTTAAATTTCAAGATATTTCTTGAATTTGGATGCAAGAATCTACAATTAATATAGTTTTGCATCAATAGCTTATTAATAATTTTATAAGTATAATCTAAGAGTCTCAATAGGAAATTATTAGTTGGTACAGGGTTTAGAAAACATTTCCATCTGCAGAAATTTAAACCATTAGGCCTTCATAGTATCTGGATATTTCTGAAATTAATGTAATTAATAAAATGGGCTACCCAAAGCTTTATATAGCAAGGGCAACTTCCTCCATTCTACTAGTATTGATAGTGAAATTTTTTTCTGAAAACTCATAAGATAATCAATTATGATTTTCCTTTGAATGACAAATTCCTTTTCTTTTAAAATATATTTTTATTGATTTCAGAGAGGAAGGGAGAAGGAGAGAGAGAGAGAGAAACCTCAATGATGAGAAAGAATAATTGATGGGCTACCTCCTACAGGCCTCCTACTTGGGAATGAGTCTGCAAACGGGATTTGTAGCCCTTGATGGGATCGAATTTAGGACCTGTCAATCTGCAGGTTGGCCCTCTATCCACTGACCCAAACCAGCCAGAACTGAATGACAAATTCTTTTTTTTAAAAAATATATTTTATTGATTTTTTACAGAGAGGAAGAGAGAGGGATAGAGAGCTAGAAACATCGATGAGAGAGAATCACCGATCAGCTGCCTCTTGCACACCTCCTGCTGGAGAGTGCCCACAACCAAGGTACGTGCCCTTAACTGGAATCGAACCTCGGACCTTTCAGTCCACAGACCGATGCTCTATCCACTGAGCCAAACCGGTTTCGGCTGAATGACAAATTCTTGAAAGAGTTGCTACTTCCTCTCCTGCTCTCTGAGTGCATTATTTGCAGGTTTATCTTGGATTTGTTAAAAAAAAAAAAAAAAAAAAAAAGGTTCCAGAGTGTTCAAACATTTTGCTTGAGGGATATTTAATTATCACACAATAGTTGATCAGGGTTGATTATAGTTATAGAAACAAAACCTTTATTTTTTTAGTTTTAACTTTTATCTGTTAAAAGTCCATTCAGATTATAGTGCATAATTTAGAAATTTACAGAACCACTGACTCTTCATCATAGAAGTAAGAAGTTACAAACCGTATTCCAGTCTTTTCCAGTTTACAGAAAATTGGATTTTAACTGATGGTTGAAATTATGGTACTGTTTCTATTACATTCAAAGGTCCAGGATTTGTGTCCAGGCAGAAATTACTAAGTATGTCCTCTTAGAACTAAATTATGTCTGAAGTGTTAGGAATAAAAACTTCTGCATTCAATGTACATTTTGAAGATTTTGACTTGAAATTAGGAAGGAAAAGGCTACCCCTACAACTGCTACTCTACATTAGTATATACCCTAATATTGAGCTGGTAGAGTATAGAGTTAAACAAATCCTACGATTCTCTCCTATGGTCTAGCACCAACCTGTCCAGGCATTTGTCACTGAAGCAAAACTCAAGTAATCTTTCCAATCTGTTGCCATATTTATGTCTATGTTGGAAGCTTATGGAAAATGAAGCTAGTCCAAGAAACCAAACACTATTATTGAAAGAGAAGCAGAAAGTATTCCAGTGGCAAAAAAGGTGGCTGTTTATTTTATTTGGTGTTTCACTGTATCGGTGACCTCAGTAATGGTATGATGATATTTTTTTGAGGCTGACTTGAATTCCACCAGATGCTTCTCATAACTTTTGATGGCTGCTTGTAGTTGCGTTTTCTCCACTGCTCCTAGGATGGCACGGAAGACCATATCTATGCCAAGGCCAAGAACAGCAACTCCTATACTACCAAGGAGAGAAGCACCAATCTGAGCTAACACAGTGACCAACTTGTTAATTATGCCAGTTGTGACATTTGAGCCCACGAGTTTAACAGCCACTGCACTGGCTGCAGAAGTGGCTTCTCCCAGGATGACTGAAATAACCTTTTGTACGATTGCAATTTTCTCTGTTTCCCTTTCCTTAACATCCTGAAGTTTTCTATAAAGGGTTGGCTCTAGTTTATCTTTTAGTGCTTCGTCAACCTTTTGCAATTCCTTTTGGATTTCCATCATGGCTTGGATAATGGTATCACAGTTTTCTTTGATGGTCCCATTTCTGTTCATCTCAATGGAGGCCAGCCCACACCCCAAATGCATATTTAAAACTCCAATCAGTTCATTGGTGGCACGGAAACTGTCAGATAAGCAGTCAAGGAGCTGTTGGTGAAGATGGTGTACTTCTTCCCGCCTCCTTGGGTTCTCTGGGTAGAGGAAGTCACTCTGTGCCATATTTCAAATATGATCTCTGAAAAATAAAATGGTAAATTTTCACTAAAATCTTTAAAAAAATATCTGCTGTTTGATAGATTTGACCAAGAAATCTTTTATTTCATGAAAAGCTAAGTAGCAATATGCTATGTAAGGAATTCCTCAGAAAACGCAACAGGTTCTTCAAAACAATTACTTTTATAAAACTTGAAGTCAGTGTGTGGAAATGCAGGTAACAGAATACAACCTATGGATGCATTAAGGAATTACATTTTATGGTGCAGGGAGATCCTAGATAGGAAATATTTGTGTTTTGAGGCATCTGATTTGTTAATAATTGTGATTATTTTCAAATAATGTTTAATAACATATTTTAAACACTGCAGTTTGAAATGGTTACCTCTTGATAACCAGAGCTAATGGTTATTTATTTCTCCAACCTCTAGTCACCACACTGAATAGACCTATTGGGTTGATTTCTTCAGTATTTGGAGTTAATAGGGCCAGAATAATATTAAGATCTTTGAGTTTACAGGGCTATTAATATATAATTTTGTTTACATACTCTGTTATCTTATTTACAATATTCAAATCCCTTTATATAACTTTACAGGCAATTTCTCTAAACCTAAGGGACATTGAAAGGCAATTATAACAGACCTTTACAAAAAAAAAATCCATGTGGTGAGAGTATAGATTCAAGATTCTTTGCATTACAATCTCACTTGAGGAGAAAAGACATGGTGCAGGGGACAGCAGTTATGAATATTTCTCTGATTCTCTATTTCCAAAGCTTATAAAATAATTTAGAATAATCTGTATTGTGGTTGGCCATTATTAAGATAACTTAGAGTTACCGAAAGAAGATAATGCCATTTCACGGAAGTATTAAGGAATAAGTAGCAAAGCACACCATAGAGTGAATAGAATAAGTCTGGTAGGAGTCTCATTTGTTTGCACTCCTGGCTCAGAGTACCCTGGAGAGAAAAAAGAAATAAGCATGTTCTTATGAGTTATTTGTCTAAAAGCGTGAGCCTAGTGAAAACAATGCTATTCAATGTGCATACCTTGAGTAGGATTGTTATGTGCCTGGCATTTTTATTTTTTACTTAAACTCTTGGAAGAAAAAAAAAGAGAAAAAGAGTATATTTGTGTGGTATCTGGTACATTCTGTCTTTGAGCAGATACTATTTTGGGCCCTTTCAAGAAAGGAAACATGAAGTCATAGAGATATAATTTGGAAATGGAGAGGGGAAGATATTTAAAAAATGGATGAGGAACACAATCACCTATGCTGTTAAATGTAGAAAAGTGCACTGGTACCCCTGGTGGAATAAACTTTATCATGGTCAAAAATTCATTTTTACCTTTGATTTAGATCCAGTAAAACACACACACACACACGACCAAACCTCCCCAAGACAGTGCTTAAAAAAATACACATTTAAAGAAATTGTTTGTTGAATGTCTATTAAATAGTCCCCAAACTCACCATCTGGGTGTATACAGAAATTATAACTATAAATTTGGACTTGATTTATCTTTTTTCTTCTAGGAATTTTCTATTAAACTTTTTTTTTGGGGGGGTGTCTTAGTTTTCAGATCTTATCATGAAATGAAAACTCTACTTTTCTGACTTTGAATTCAGAAGATCACCATCTACATCTCAGGTATTTAGTTGAGAGTAATTTTTCTTACCTTGAAAAAGTAGAACTCTATCTAACAACTATCATATGCCACTATCTGAAGGCCAAACTTCCAGAAAAGATGTGTGGTTCTATTTACCCCAAGGTAAACAAATGAAGAAATGAACTTTCTTCTGGGATGGTAGGTCAAATGCTTCCAAGTGATCAATTTCTTCTTAACAAATAAATTATTTTAGCACACGTAACAAATTAATCATAAAATATACCCAAAAGACTGAATAGATGAGAATAATCTTTTCAGGAAAAATAATGATGGGACTTTTTCCTTCTCAAATATTAAAACACTCAAAATACAATATTAACCAGTATTTTTACTTATTTTTTATTATTATTTAAAAAAATATGTTTTATTGATTTTCCACAGAGAGGAAGGGAGAGGGATAGAGAGCTAGAAACGTCGAGGAGAGAGAAACATCTATCAGCTGTCTCCTGCACATCTCTTACTGGGGATGTGCCCGCAACCAATGTAAATGCCCTTGACCAGAATAGAACCTGGGACCTTCCAGTCCACAGACTGAAATCTATCCACTGAGCCAAACCAGTTTCGGCTAACCAGTATTTTTATACAGGTGAAAGAATAGATGGAATTGTGGAACAAAATAGTCCTCAAAACAGACCCTTCTACACATTTGATTTAGTATATAATATAGTATTTCAGATTGATGATAATTGAGATTATTATTTTATAAATTATTCTGACATAATGAAGTAGTTTTAGGGGTTAAAGGTAATTTTGAAATGTTATTAGCATAATATATGTAAAAAATCAACTAGTAAAATAGGAGAAAATGGGTAATTTTCAAATGTCAGTATAGAAGAGGACTTTATAAACTTAAAAACATTGAAAAAAGAATACAATTTGATTAATAAAGATGATCATGTAAAAGCAACTATTATAGAAGCAACTATTATATATTATAGAAATATAATAAAAATGAAATATTAATTTTTAAAGAATGTTATTAATAAAGTAATAATCTGATACCTAAATTAGCAAACAACTGAACAGACAGTAAATCTAATAGTAGCTAACTGATAAGAAAAATTCAATCTTACCAGAAGTCAAAGACACAATATTTTTTCAACTGCGAAAAGTAGTATTTTCTTTCTTTTTTTCATTTAAAAAATATTTTTTTTATTTAGAAGTATTTTCTTTCTTTATATGCTGAATCCCTTGCATGCGCACTTTTATACCCAGATTATCCAGGCACCAATTCATAATTTTGTGCCAATAACAAGTTTGAGTAAGAGACATCAGGAAGTGCTCAGATCAGATCATAGAAAAGGGCTTTTATTTTTCTAAGTCTGGCTTACCTTCCTAGCTCTTTTCTTCTTGGGGAAAGTAGTTGGGAGGGTTCCTTATCTCCAGCTTGCCTGCTCCTACACCTGCTCCAGTACTGACCACACAAGATTATTTCTGTCCCAACAGTGAATTAAATGCTAGAGAATTAGATGGAGGAGGGATGGGGTTTGAAGGTGAAACTAATGAATTATTTCTTAGGTGAAATTTGAATAGCCTGGTGAAGGAAGCAATTCAATAATTCAGTAACAATTTACCTAATTGAGTAGCACCTTACTATGGATAAGGCGGGATGGTAGGTTCTGTAGAGCACACGAAAATGAAAAAGACATGGTTCTTGCTTTCATGAAAATTCTATTCTAGTTAACACATTGCGGACGGCTCATGAGAATTCTCGCTTCATAATGCACAGTGGTTTAGAAGGATCATATTTTAAAAAGATATTAGTTTGTAAGACTGATTTAACTTCAAAATGCAATGGGTATTTAATTTTAAGGCGTGCTTTTAACATTCATATAAAACGTTTTTTGTACTCATTCAATGGAAACTTACCTGGCCACTAGATAAAGCTAGCAATAAAACTACTGGTCTGCAATGTGTTAAGATAGTAAATTACATGTCATCTTGAAAGTAATATGTTATTCAAAATTGTAGATAGAGGTGATGCTTGACTTGTGCAAATTCAAATTTTAAACAAGTCACAATTTAGTATGTATTGATACTGAGTCAATATGGAGACATTCAGTCATCCAAAGATGATTAACAATTTGCACCCTCTCAATTTATTACTGCTATATATATACTTGATATTTAGAGGTGAGCTTATATACCACATGGAAAAAACCACAGTTGGTAATGTACAGCGTTTCCACTATTGACCATGACAATTTAGCTCTGATGCTCAAATTGCTTACTTCACTCAGCAAAACAAAAGCCCTTCAATTAATTGGAGTGACCCTTCTTAGAGATCCTAGGTATTACTTAGGTATGGCTAAGTGATGTCTTATTTAGAATATGTAGTATTGTACCTAAAATTAGTTCTGAACCATATACTTTCCTTTATCTTATTGATTTTTTATGGGTCACCTTTTAAAAATGAACTGCTAAAATTCACTGTTTAAAAAATTATTTTAAAGTAATTTAAAAATGACTTTTAAAGATTGGTACTAGCAGGTAGCTAAGTGGTCTATTGACTACCTGCACCTTTTGTATGGTAAATGTAAATTTTTACATCATTTGTTATCACATGATAGAGCTCCCTGTCACTGAAAAATTCACTCTAGACTGCTACCATCTACTTCTAAACAGCAGAGTTTGTGCTGTTGTATCTGCCCTGATTCTAGTAGCTCTTGAAATAAGTTTGAGAGCCCAGATAGTCTGATGGGGAATTACTAGCCAGTAGGGGGAGCGCTTGATCTCTGGCTGCCTGTTTCACCCCAGTCTACCCTGACAACTGTGCTTTTTTGTGTTGCTGTGTTTCTGTTGTGGGTGGGTAAAATTGTATTTGATGAGTGCTCTGTTGCTAAAACAGATTTTGAAAATCACATGTATCTTAATTTATTTGGTAAAAAAGGAAGTAAATTGGGGAAAGCCAGTGATTAGCATTTGAAATGGAAACAAAGACTAGCTTCAGTCAGATGGATTCTTACTGAATGCATGCCACTTTTATTGAATTGAGAAATAAACATTCAAAAGCATACAAAAAGTGGTAGAAACATTTCTATGATTGTATCTAAAAGTTAATGTTTATTTAGTGATATTATGCAATTGTTTTAGTTTTTCAGGAAAGGAACTACCTTATGAAATGAAAATCTATTGGTTATCATGTATTCAAATAAAAATTCCTCAGGATACTTTTGTGAATAAGAGTAGTGCACGGACTGTCAAATGGTATAGAAATTTAAAGAGAGGAATTAATGTTGATGTGATTTGAAATTAATATTGATGTGATTAGTGACATAAAAGGACATTTAACAATTCATGTGAACACACAGTGACACAGGTGTCATTTCACC